ATTCTAATTGATATATTCATATATATATTCATATTTTTAAAGTCTTCAAGATTTTAGAAATCAAAATTAATTATAGTTTTTCAAAGTCTAGAATGAAAATGAAACAGAATGTGAGAAACAGGAAAAAAATAGTAGACAATCCATCCACATAATTTGCAAATATTTCTCTAAACTAAAATATAAGAATTATATTTATATAATATAATATAAGAATCTGAAATAGAGGATAAGAATTTCANAATTACAGTTCAAAATCTAGAATGAAAATGAAATGGAGGATGTGAGAAAAAGATAGCAGACAATCCATTCACATAATTTACAAATATTTCTCTAAACTAAAATATAAGAATTATATTTATATAATATAAGAATCTGAAATAGAGGATAAGAATTTCAATTTTAATTGATATATATATATTCATATTCTGAAAATCTTCAAGATTTTAGAAATTAAAATTAATTACAGTTCAAAGTCTAGAATGAAAATGAAACAGGATGTGATATTATACGTTTGTGAGATAATGTGAAGCGAGGTTTGAAATAATACGTAAAACGTTCGTTCTTGTTTCAGCGGATGTGGAGAAGGTTTCTGGAGAAGGAAAAGGTGGCAATCAGTGTCCTTCACTAGCCACCTTGTTTAATAGTGCATATCCATTTATATCGGACGTGGGGATCGCCAAGGGGAGATGTCTGCATAGCGATTCACGAAGATGTCAGATGAGTTAGGTGTGGTGAGACTGACGTGCTCTAACAAGTCTCTCGAGTTACGCTTCGTTGTTCTCGTTGCTTCTTTCCTGGTTTAATTAAAAATGTCTGTACACCACGTTGATGGAAGTGGAGGGAAAGTTGTTTTTATATATAACGAATTTTTCAACCGGTAGAAAAACTTGAAGAAATACAGCGTTAATATTTTAGAAAACTGCTTTCTTAATTTTGTTTATACTTTAATAATTTGTTAAATAACTTGGATAAAGATTAAAAAGATTTAACATCTTGGAAAAATTATTCAAGTCTAACTTTCCTTTCTTTTTTTTTTTTTTTCCTAGAAATAACTGTGTGTTTTAAAACAAATTTCTTTGGTCGATAAGTTGATAAATTTTTCACAAATTACACGTTTATATTTATATTTTATTTTATTATACTTATATTTATATTTCCATGTACCTCTGATCTTTATACCAATGTCCAACATTTTTTTTTTATGCAATTCCATATTAAACAAATGATCCAAGCCTCGTGGGATGATAAAGAAATTTTAAATTTGACCTGAAAATGGAAGAGATGGAAGAATTGTTATTATCGAGTTTGAAAATGTGAAACAGAAAAACAAGATAAAAATAGAGAGATATCTTTGTCGGGCATTGAGACTTCATTGAATGAAATCTCTCACGTATTCATACGTGGTAGGGGAAAGGGTTTGGTAAAGATTTATACGGAGAAGAATGGAGGGGATATATCTCGAAAGAGGAAATACCATTCTGCATTTTCTAGTAGGGCGAATTCTCTCAAGAGTCAAACATTTAGTAGACTTTGTCTGGGAAACATTCCAGGGGAAGAGACACGCGCACACGTGCCTCTCCTTCTTCCTTTTCTTCCTTCTTCTTATTTTTATTCTATTTTTCTTTTAGAATAGAGAAGAATGGGAAAAAAGAATCGATGCAAATTCTATTTGAATTGGAACAATTGGCTTGGAACGCGGGATAAATTAACACGTGCGATATGGTAATAAGACAGACGATGTGTATTCCCAACAAACATTATGCTTCCAGATTATCACGATGATGAAACGTATTATAATAATCGATGTTGTGGATCGAATTATCTATTAAGGGATCTTCTATATCCAAAATTGATTTCGAATTAGATTCGTTCTCTCCTAAGAAATTTCTCTAAGAACAATATCAATTTTATTAATTTAATTGGTATATATTTTTTTTTTTAGAGGAAAAGAAATAGAAAAATTAATTATTATTCGAGGTGTTTCTATATTTGGAGCAAAGATATTTAAAGTAAGAATTAATCCTCTAAAATTTGGGAGAAGGAATTTTTATGACAGATATAAATTAATCGGGTTGAGAACCTCTGCTTTTGAAAAAGGAGAAAGAAAGGAGAATCGTTTCACATCGAGTATTCCCTACATTGCGAAGATTTTGATCGAACGTGGAAATATGATTTAATCCAATTATTCTCGTGACTCGATAAAAAATATTTCCTATTTCCAGGAACTTTTTTAAAACTGGGAAAATTGCCGGGGGATGCATTGCTCGAGTTCCGTGAGCCGAATAATTGGAACGAGAGTTAATTACACGCACAAAGAAGATTCTTCAGATATCAGAAAACAATTTAATCCTGCTTAACCTTCAGGCATTTAAATGAAAATTCAGAAAAATTAATTCGATCACGACGAAAAGGTAGTGCAATCCTTTTTTTTTTTTTTTCTAAAATAATTAATTACATAAGTGAATCGCGTTTAACGGCAAAATAATTTTTAAAGGAAATTAATATAAAGGAAGAAATTATCTCTTCGATACGGAAAAGAAAAGAGAGGAAAAGAAAAGGGTAGAAAAATCCATTTCGCGTTATTCCATCCACATAAACGAGTCGCGTGGCAAATATTTGTAACCGCTTCTGAAAATATCTCTCGTCGACTAAATGCAATCAACTGTTCCTCTCTGCGCAGAAAGAAGGTATTACCTTGCAACTTCTCCTCGTAATGCAATGAGTTCTGTATTCATCCCTCTGGATCAGTGGTTCTTAACCAAAACGCTTCTCATCCCGAATGAAATTTTGAAAATATTTTTTCCTAATCAAAATATTCGTACGATATTTACATTCTTCTTATTGTATTTATATCAATTTCTATTATTAAAAATTACAAAGAAGATTAACGAGATCGGTATTGAACATTTTCGTTTCCTCTTAAATGTTATTAATTGCAAATTGAAGAACAATCTTTGTACATTTTTTATAGAAACTAATATTAAATTGTACATATAATATTTTAAAATAATTATTTTTCCATTCAGTTGTTTTGCAGTTGAAACGACACTAGCGCCACACATTAACTATCTAAGTACTTAACCTTCTATTGCATTCCCAATTGGAGACTTAAATTTCAAAGGTGTGTTCTCGCATGGATGGAAAATATGTACACCCGTTAGAATGCTGTTATTATTTATTTCATGACCACGCTCGTTTTTAAATAAACCAACAACCATATATATTTCTTTCGTCGTAAAAATTGATAGAGGTTAATATACTCTTTTTAAATATACATTTCTACAATTACTAATTTCTTCCTTTCTTTTTCATTCACATTCCAGTTGTTACACAAATATATTTGCTATAAATATCGCGAAAATTTATTTCTTTATTTCTAGATACGAGTATGGTGATCAAGAACCACTGCCTCCTTCGTACCTTGCACAAACTGTAGAGTAAGAGCATGGTATATTCACAATATACGTTGAATTAACGGGAAGAATTAAATTCCAAACATTTTAACAGAAATATCTGTTTGGACGAGGCATTAATGGGATCGAAAGGAGAGTGAGATTTCGAATTGGGAGAATTCGTTCGAAAGTCGAAGGAAAGGGGGCGCTTCTTTCAACCGATTACTCCTTTGTGACGGTGTAGAATCGAGTATAACGATGCACCGATGTCTTTTTATCTCTGGAAGGAACGTTCCCGAAGAAAAGGAGGGAGAATCGAAAATTTCTCCAAGGACACGTTTCACTTTTCATTGCGTTGATGGAGTTTCAGCACTCGTTCGACTTTTAATGCAACGATGAAGGTAGATTGGATGATTGTAAAAGCGTGGTAGAAGTTTCTTTTGTGCTGATGGTTTCCCAAGCTAATCTGAATTTTTCTCTTCTCTTCTTCTTTTTGAAATTTTGTTATTTATATATAT